ATATTATCAAAAGATTAATGGAAACGTCTTTATATATATATATATATATATATATATATATATATATATATATATATATATATATATATATATATATCCTTGTTTTATCTTTTTATTTGCTCATTCATTTTGGGACCTATTTATTGCCGTTATTTTTTTTCATTTGCCCATTTTAGATATTAAGGAGAGAGAAAGTTCATCCATTTCTCATCGATTATTGCTCCGCATCATATGCTTTTTTTAGTCTTGAACCTCATTGATCCCATCAAATTGTGTTTACCAAAATTTCATCTCATAGGATAGATCATAAACCAACTAATTTCCATGGATTAAACTCGTTTGGATTAGACAATTTTAGGGTTTTTCGTTATTGGTGATCTTGGCTCATTTTCTAGATTTTTTTGATTGTGATATTTGATATTTTGGTTGGATTGTTGTGGGTTAAATTAGGTAAATGATTTTATGACTGAATTGATTTGTGTATTTCCAATTGTAATTGTTCTAAGAATCAATCTTCTAACCCATCAACGACAATATTATTCTTCCTAATCAATACCATTTTGCTTCTAAATGTCAATTCATTGTTTATGCGAAATAGAGTTGAAGATGGATCCAAATAGATGTTTCAATTGGCTGAATGTGTTTTCGAATGATGTTGGATATTTGAATGGATTTTCAAATCGATTAGATGAGTATAGAATGAATTTGTAACAGTCATTTTCCGGGTACGACCTTATTTACCAAGTTATTTTTCTAAGTTAGAAAAAATAGTTTTTGGAGTTTCACGTCACATCGACTTGGTGTCGTAATGTGACTTGTATAGGTCGCAAAATGTGGCTGCAAACATCTCACACAGTAATCTCGGGTTTTGGGCCCTATTTAAGGCACTAACTTCTAGGGCTTTGTCTCATCATCAACCTCTAAGCCCCATAAGTAAACCCTAGCATCCATCATTCTCTTCCTTAAAGATTTTGTGTTCTTAGTGTAATTCTTGAGGAAGAAGAGGAAGGTGTTTGGTGCAAGGAAATGAGATCCACAGAAGTTCCAACCTTTTTATCATTTTCGAGAGCTTTATAAGTCATCAATTCTCAACCTTTATGATCCCTTTTTTGTAGATCTATGTCTTGTTTATGTTATTGGTCCCTTTTATGAAAATTATATGGAGTTTGGGAAAACTCCAAGTCCAAAGGTTATGTTAATTGGTTTTATGGACCCATTGTTGTGAAATGAATGGAAGGTTAACTTCCTATATGAACCATGAGATTATTGGAATTTTGGGCACATTCTTGGATATGGGGTTAGAAATGGTTATGTTAGAGGCATGCATATGGATAAAGTATGAAACTTTATCCACAAAGACCATTTTTAGAAGGATTCTGGAAATTATGAGCTTTGTTCTTAAGAGATTAAGTGCTTAACCAATTGGATTTAGTCTTTCCTTTTGATGATTATAACAAAGTTCAATTTAGTATTATTAGTTTCTTAATCTTGTTGTGGTATTTTGATATGCATATAATGCTTGTTCCAAAGAAGTCAAAATCAAGTAAAGTCTGGTTTGATTATAATAAAGCATTTTAGACAACATAAAATAGTTTATCATAGAAGATTTTAACTATTTGAAAATACTTTGCAAATTCTTTTGGAATATGTTATTGCCACAGAATATGTGAAATTAAGGTAACATTTAGTGTTAGATTTTACCACTCGGGTTTATGAAAATTGTCTCATTTAAAAGAAAATATTAAGCCAATATTTACATTTATTGAAAATAAAGTGAGGACATTCAATGCTTTTAATATCATATGTTATAAACTGATAATCTAATAAGTTCTAATGATGCTAATGGGAGTGATGCAGAGCTCAACAAATTGAAAAGTTTGAAGAATAGAGGGGGGAAAGAGAGAGAATGGGTGGTCTGTCAAGTTAGGGAGAAGAAAGGGAGAAGAAGAAGTCAAAGAAAGGAGGGATCGACAACTGATCATCGAGGAGGAGGCCTCAATTTGATATGTCGAGGTCAAGGCCTATTGTTTGTTGAGTCCACATCAACAATGCCGAGGGATTGCCGAGATGACTCCCCGTAGCCTAAGAGTATTAATGTTTGTTACTTCCATAAAATATCATAATAATTAAGTGTTTGTTTGAAGTTAGAAATGACTCATTTTTTTGTAATGTAAATAATTATTCAATGTTATTCGGAGTTGGTTGTTCTTATCGATGTAAAGATCTTGTGTTTTTTTTTGTTTGAGTAATATAATTATGTAGCCATACTTAAGCTTTGTTATATCAATCAATTTAGTCAAAAACAAATAATATTAATGCATAATACACATTATTATTTGTGCGGATTATGTTTGGTCCAAACGTTCAAAACAGAGTTTGGCCATATAATAACGTGTGAGTTATATTTTCAGAGAAATTATTTATGTGAACTGTTTTCAACCCAAAGATAGATACAATTCAACATGATGTCTGTAACAAAGGGACAACTGACAGAATTACCTTATACATCAATTGCAACTTTAAGCTTCTGGGAATTAGATGTTGATGAATGTCATTCTTCGTCGTGTGTTATTAAGGGAAGTGAAATGTTGCTAGACATTCACCACTGTCTATATCAATCTATGGCGAGTCTTGTGCAAGTGGAAGATTGAAATATCTTTATACCCAAGAGTCATTATATAGTGATATTTGTTAATGACATATGATCATATAAGGTCACACCTTATATCAAGTTACACCTAATTCATTATTTATTAAAGTAATTTGATTATTAATAAATATAATTAACTTGTAGTTAATTTTGGAATTATTATTTTATGAAAATAATGTTTTAACAACTAATTAGAAAATTGTTATTTCTAGGAAATGATAATAAACAAGAATAAAACTAGTTATATTCATAAGGCAGGATTATATATGCTATGTAGAAATTAAATGGACACTTTGAGTAAACATTTAGTTAGACATGTAACGAGTTAGTTAGAAGCTTGAGTGAAAGACACTCTTGACCCATGTCTTGCTTGTCAAAACCATACACCTCTTGGAGAGGTTAAGGATTGATTGTGGTCTTATTGCTTCTTACATCATATTCATGTCATAAAAGCGCCATGCTTTGACTTGTTGAAAGAATGTTGCTTTAGCACATGTAAGGTGGTATACAAAGGAGTGTTAGGATGAAAAAATATCTAGTTTTTATTGGATATTATTCTCCTTTTAGGCTGCCAAAACCGAGAGTTTATGCTCTCTCTCCCTCATATTTGTCTTGCAATTTGGTGCTTGATTTAAGAGCTTATATGTTGCTTCTCCTTAAGACTTATTTAGTATATATCTTAAGGCTTAAGAACAACTTATATACAAGTGAAGACTATGTAAAGTCATCTTTAGTGTTGTGTCAAATAGCTGTTTTCGGAATTATGTCTTGTTCCGATTCCGAATGGGGCATGTCCATTTTCGAAATTGTTATCTTAGTTGGTCTTTATATAGCATATGTATTTGTCTTTTATGGAACAACTTTTGTAACGTTCTCTTCCAGCATTAAAGAATAGTTCCAATTTCACGAATTGTTCCATTGTTGAGATTAATAGAGTGCAACTTCTTTTCAATCATTATCGTTCCATATCATTGGTTTATTTCGTAATATAGAATCTATAAGTCATTTTATTATCTACCAGACTAGCCTGTTTTAGTGGTTGATCCTTACTTGGGGGTAGATTATAAAGAGCTTCTTTTTTGGAGCTTCTTGTCATCTTCATCAACTTCCAATCTCCCATGAGAATCAAAGTCTTCAAAGATTGCAACACTTTTTCTTCTATGGTTGATTTAATATTTTCATGCTTTGCAAAGTGATCTTTGGTGAGTTAAAATGGTTTTAACTTTATTCAAATCTTCAAATACTCCGTTGCTAATCTCGTAGTTTTGACAATATAATTAGACTATTTTTTAATAAAACCCAATACAGGGCCTGGTGCCTTTTTACTTGCACACTCTAAGCCAAAATCCTTTCTAGCACTACATAAGTAGATAGTATTATGCTAAAGAGAGGTTTAACTCTAGGAATTTAAACAAACCGAACGAATATGGATAAAGACTTGTTCATGTAAGTTAGTCAAACAAACCAATGAACACAAACGAATAAACATACGAGTTTTCTTGTCCATGTTCGTTCGTTTAACAAGTTAAAACTTGTTCGTGTTCGCTCATTATATTTGTGAACATAATAAACATATATAAACGAACGAACATAAACGGATAGAGATAAACAAAAAAAAACAGTTTAACATATATAAACATAAACGAACATATAACATAATAATGTAATCATACATAACTGAACATATATGAATATAAATGAACTTAAACAAACATAAACAAAAGTTCACAAACATAAATGAACGCATGAGATAATTATTCATGTTTGTTTCTTTAACCCAACAAACAAAAATTTATGTTCATGTTCGTTTATTTATAACATAAAAACAAACTACCCATCGAATGATTCATAAACATGCGGTTCGTTTACAACCTAGTTACCTCATAAAAACCAAATTTTAAAAAACCTTACACTACTGGAAAATCTGATAATACCTACGGAAAAATCTGTAGGTATAAGGTGTTACCTACGGAATTGCGACGGAAAACGGGCCGTAGCATAAACGTTCGTGGGTAAATATTACCGACAGATTTGCGACGGAATACCTACGGAATACCGACAACATTTTTCCGTCAGTAATTTACCTACGGAATACCTACGGTTACCGACGGGACCCACTTTAATTGACATTCACTTTATCACCTACGGATTTCCGACGGCTCATATTACCAACGGATTTTCCGTAGGTATTCCGTCACTAAATCTCTTTTTTTTTTTTAAAAAAACAGCAATAAATAACAAAAATTCCAGTTTTTTCTCTCCAATATATTGACAAAACTCATTAGATTAAACTTATAATAATATTGAAACTCAACCACAAAACTAATAACATTACAACAAAACTAATAACATTACAACAAAACTAATAAACATCATCTAATACCTTAAAAAGTATCAAATACAAATGCATTACTAATGAACATTATCTAATAATATACTAAATGTGTCTAACAATACACATTAAAAGTGTCAACTATAAATGTTTAACTAAGTGCTTAAAAACATAAAACTGAGAATTATTTGGGGGATTACTTGGTAAATTACCAAGTTAAGCTTAACCGATAAACCCCGACAATTGTTCTTCAATTTGAGTTTTGAATCAAAGGCCGCCAAGTGTTCCTGTTTCAACACACCATAATAAATTATCACAAATATATATATATATATATATATATATATACACACAAGTGAAGATCCCATGCTCCGCATGGGTTAGAACGACTTCTGTCTTTGCTTAATAGACATTTTACATATTTGTTATCAATGTACTTAATCCCATGCTCCATAGCCACACCCACCCTCTGATCCTTTACCATTTTCCCTCCGAGATCAGAAACAGTAAACCTGAAGAAGAGTTCAAAAAAAAAAGTTTACCAGGCTAGAAGCTATTGGAAGCATTTATCAACATTAAAGTAAAACATATACTACGTTTAAGGGACAAATGCGTAAATTCAATACAGAATTACCATGAACAAAATTCACATTGTTGTAATTTTTGTAGAGCATGAAGTAAGTGAAACATGATATTGAGGATGCTACTTTTAGCATGTAAAATACATGCATATGATGGTACAGGAGAGTAAAGGGATGAAATAGCGGAGGTAGAGAAAGAGGGGAAGGGAGAGCTTGCAATTCATTTGTAAATATCACAATGATTTGAGTTAATAACAGGGACAACACCACCAAAAGACTGAAGTTCACCAAAATTGCACCAAGGGCAAAATGAACAAGATGTTGACCAAAAATAAATGCTTTCATATATCAATCCATCAATAGAATGTTATAGGTATCCCTTAAAAACTAACAAAAGAATGATAGAAACAACAACCACCACCACCAAATAACCCAAAAACTAAACAATAGGGCACCGAGGGCAAAATGGTCAACACATGAAAGGTTGCAATAAATTTAAACATCAATTGAATTAAATGATATGGACCAGCCATACACACACAACCATCATGCTTCTATGCTTATTGCAAAATAGAGATTAGCCATTTGACCGAAAAAATAAGATTATTTTTATTTTCAAAAAGTTATTTTTAAGCACTGAATGCCGTTATATTAAATTATTTACAAAAATGATTATTTCCGCTTTTAATTGATGGAAGGCAAGCCACATTAGATGCCTACAAATTTAAATATCCAATTATTTTTGCAGAAAAAAAACCAGTTCAAATTAAAAAAAAATTAGGCATTCTATTATTAAGATGCAAGCAATGAAATAGGAAATCCAAAAATGACAGTGACAATACCTGCTTATAAGAATCCCCAGTCAAGACACCCACGTGTGGTTAAAGACGTCACCCTTCTTTGTTATGTTCTATCAACTGCAAATATTAATTGAATAATATAATTATACTATACATTAAAATAATGGAGGTATGAATGACACAAATATTACAATAATAAAACTGCATCTCTTAACTCATCCTATGAACGACACAAATAATACAATAATGAAATAATGTTTATAGCCATAAAAATCAAATGAAAATATATAAATACATTAGAAAATACATCATCAAGCAACCTGTGTAGCTCATCTATAGCTTCCACCAGTTTTGGTCAAAGATCTTCTCATTCAGATCAGTTGGCATCTTGTAAAAGCAAACTCCTATCTTGCTGCAAAATAAAAATAGAAATCATAACGATTTCTCTTCATCCTTCGTTTTCTGTTCATAAAAAACGCAGAAAACCAAATTCTGCAAAATAAAAATAGAAATCATAACACACACATACATTTCTTCCAAAAGCAGGGAACAAAATTTACTCTTTTTTTATTTTCAATCGAACACCAGAAAACCAAATTCTACACCAGGAGTGAGTTATTCCATAAAATCTAAGGAAAACCATAGAAAAAAGAATCACACGAACCTGGAAATCAATCAAACAGCTGATGATGGAGTGATAGAGTTTGAGGCTAGTGGGTGGCTGTAAACATTGGTTAGTGCTAGGGTTCTCGGTCGTTGGAGGGGATAATGAGGCAGGCGGCGTCGGTGCTTTGGATGGAGGTGACGACGTAACTGTCTTGGATGTAGCGACGATGTCAATGGCGAAGAGAGCCAGTCGACGTCGTTGTTACTTGGTAGTGAAAGAGCAGAGGAGAAATCGGGATAAATGAAGATAGAGAGGAAACCCTTCAATCATATGCTCTGTTAACAAACGGAACCCAAAATTAAAACAAAGCCAAGATCGAAATGATCAATCCTAACCCAAAACGAAACCTAAACGAAATTAAACCAAAAAAAAAAACTTACCTGGATATCAAATCGATTCTCAACAATGACATGGGTGAACGAGGTGGACCAGTGATTGTTTACAGCGCAAGCCGAGTTTGGTGGAGCGGTGGCGGTGAGAAGGAACGATGGTGGATGCTGAATCGTATCGGAGATGGAAGGAGGTCGGCGTTGGGATTGGATCCATCTACGACAGAATGAAAAGGTGGGAGATGAAAAGGTGGGAGATGGGAGGTGGGACTCTTGAATCATACGGGAGGGAAAATGAACCCTAAAACATATTTGGGGCAAATGAAGCGGGTAAACGAAATAAAAGAAGGGGGTAAACGAAATAAAGGTGACGGACAAAAAAGAAACAGGCAAAGGGGTTCGAACTCGCGTCTAACATGAATAATTCCAAAGTCTGTACCAATTGGCCGGGCATGCCACATCCGTTTATAAGGGTTGCTTCGTTTCTCTTATTGAATACCGATTTCCTTCCTTTATTATTATTATTATCATTATTTCCATTATTATTATTATTATTATTATTATTTCCATTATTATTATTATTATTATTATTTCCATTATTATTATTATTATTATTATTATTATTATTATTTCCATTATTATTATTATTATTATTATTATTATTATTATTATTATTATTATTATTATTTCCATTATTATTATTATTATTATTATTATTATTATTATTATTATTACGTATAAGTTGGCAACACTATAGATAATCATGTATAATAGAGGCGTGAAAAAACCGAAGCGAAAAAAATGACGTTTGGTGCCCTTATCTTCGAGATTTCGGGCACCAAACATCGTTTTTTTTCGCTTCGTTTTTTTCACACCTCTAATATACATGATTATCTATATTTTCCCAAATTTATACTAAATTATTGAAATCATTTTTTCAAAGTAGTAGTGTTTAGCGATCAACTCCCACCCATGACAATTATTCCTTCCACCACTACCAACCACCTATATAAAACCATCATTGCAATCATTCAACGTCATTAACCAACCTGTTTATGTATGTCCATGTATGTGTATGTGAATATGTATTTGAATGTGCATATGTATATATGTGTATGTATATGTGTATATGTATGTATGTTTATGTATGATTATGTAAGTATCTGAATGTATTAATAGGTATTACAATGTTAAAAATTGAAATGAGTGTTTCTATGTATGTATGTATGTATGTGTATGTGTGTATGTATGTGTACGTGTGTGGGAAAAAGCATTGATTGTAATGTTAAAGCATGAAATGAGTAACGGATCAAAAGGTGCACATGGCTCTACACACGTAGATATTAGGTATAAGTTGGTGAAAGTGTAGATAATCATGCATAGTAGAAGTGCGATAAAATCGAAGGGAAAAAAACTATTCAGTTGATTTCAGTTGGTCTTAATGCATCCAGAACATAGATCTAACCTCCTAGGGTCCATATTACACGTAAAGTCATAAACTTGACGTCCATGCATGGGGGATTTGGCTCAAATGGCCTTAAAATGAGGCTTATATGATGCATGGGACCCTTATAGCAACAAAGTTGGCACCTTTATGCCATGGGAACCCTCAATGGGTCCAGATCTGAAGTTAACACTCTACATCACGCTCTAAACCCGAAGGTGGCTTAGAAATGCCCAAAAATGGCAAGATTCAAGCCTTAAAGAAGGTCTAACAAATGAGAAGTCAAGGTTGAAGCTTTTTACCTCAGCCAAGCTGGAAATGCAACCAAGACTCTGGATCTACTTGCTTCTTCAAGAACCCCCAAGCTTCCACTTCTTTCTTCAAGCTTCAAACAACTTTAAACACCCAAAAATGGCTCAAGAACACTCAAAAAGCTTTAGGGTTTCGAGTTAGGGCTTTTTGTGGACTGAGAGGGACGATGGAGCCATCCGATGGATTACTTATGATGGTGATGGTGATGGTGATGGTGATGGTGATGGTGATGGTGATGGGTGATGGGTGATGGAGATGGTGATGGTGATGGTGATGGTGATGGTGGTGGTGGTGTTGATGATGATGATGATGATGATGATGATGATGATGATACCACTGGTCTCCCTACATAGTTCAAGTGCCCTCCAACCTGAATATCTCCCATAGATACAACCGCCTCCTCATCCCCTTGAGTCTGTTTGTTGCCTAAGTAAGGAATTAGGGTTTCCACCTGAAAACCCTAGCAGCCACAGCTATAAATAGACCCTCTACATAAGGATTTCGGATCGATGAGTTTTGTATGAAGCCCTAGCTGAATCCTTCTCTCCTAAGTCATCTTGTTGCATTAGGTGTTTGTGACTCCATTAGAGGTGCAACACTTGGGGCACTAGGCTTTCAGAAGTCAAACCCCCAATAACCACCAAGATGGGTTCAAAACCCAAACCCTAGGCTTAAAAGGGCAAGGACTTAATCATTAAGCACAAAATTACCAAAGGTAATACTTGGGGCAACACTTGGGGCACTAGGCTTTCAGAGTCGGTTTCCGGACTCGACGAGTAGACTCTGACTGGACAAAACCCTAATCTAAGGGTTTGCACCCTATTTAAACATCTCATTCAGCCACCCTTCGTCCCTATTGCTTCCAGAAACCCCCCATAGCAAACCCTAACTGTGTGTGTGAAGATCTAAAGGCATTTGTGGTGATTCTTGGTGGTCTTGATCACAAGGAAGAAGGAAGGGCCTAGATGAATCAAGAGAAGACCAAAGGGGTTCAAGTTTGTGCATCATTTGCAGTTCCCAGAAGGTATAAAGTCGATACCTTGCTTGTTCATTTGTTAGATCCCTCTTTGGGGAGATTTAGGGCTTTTATAAGCCATTTTTGGTAACCAACCATGATTGCAAGCACAATCATTCCTTTTTCCTTTTTCCTTTCCCCTTTTCCTTTCCCTTTTTCCTTTCACGTCATCAACTCCCACCCATGACAATCATTCCTTCCAACACTAACAATCGCCTATCTCAAACCACCATTGCAATCCTTCAACACCACCAACCAACCTATTTATGTATCTCTATGTGTGTGTGTATATGAAATCGAGCAAAAAGGGTTCCACCAAACGGAGAGATGCGCCGGGAGATACACCGGAAGATGCTTCGGGAGACACGCCGGAAGATGCGCCACTGAATGGAGGGAAAAAATCTGGAAATGGGGAAAGAGGAGTAAGAATGTATGTGTGAATATATGTTTCTATGGGTATATATGAATGTATGTTTCTATGGGCATATATGAATGTATGTGTCAATGTGTATATGTATGTATCTATATGTACATATATTAATGTGATTGTAATTTTAAAGTGTGAAAGGAGTAACCGATCAAAATGAGTACGCCACTATAAACATCTAGGTATCAGGTATAAGTTGGGAAAACTATAGATAATCATTTACAATAGAGATGCGAAAAAAACGAAGCGAAAAAAAAACAACGTCCGGTGCCCGAAATGTCGAAAATAAAAAAAATCCGTAGGTAATCCGTAGGAATTTACCGACGGAATAGCGACGGACAGCCCCTTCCGTAGGTAATCCGTAGGTAATTTCCTACGGAAGGGGCTGTCCGTCGCTATTCCGTCGGTAATTTCCTACGGATTACCTACGGAATTTCTTTTATTTTCGACATTTCGGGCACCGGACGTTGTTTTTTCGCTTTGTTTTTTTCGCACCTCTATTATACATGATTATCTATATTATCACCAAATTATACCTAATAAATATGTGTGTATAACCACGTGCACCTTTAGATCCGTTACTCCTTTCGCACAGTTACTCCTTTCATATACATTCACACATAGACACATATGTACATATACATACATACACATACACAATTACACAAACATTCACATATAACCATAGACACATACATTCATAGAGGTTGGTCAATGTGTTTATGTATGAATATATGTGTATGTATGTATACGTGTGTATATGAATCTATATGTATGTGTGAATGTGTGTCTAAGAATGTATGTGTGAATGTATGTTTCTATGGGTATATATGAATTTATGTTTCTATGGCATATATGAATGTATATGTCAATGTGTATGTGTATGTATGTATACGTACATATGTTAATGTGATTGTAATTTTAAAGTGTGAAATGTGTAACCGATCAAAATGAGTACGCCACTATAAACATCTAGGTATCAGGTATGAGTTGGGAAAACTATAGATAATCATGTATAATAGAGGTGTGAAAAAAACGAAGCCAAAAAAACAACGTCCGGTGTCTGAAATGTCGAAAATAAAAAAAATCTGTAGGTAATCCGTAGGAAATTACCGACGGAATAGCGACGGACTGCCCCTTCCGTAGGTAATCCGTAGGAAATTTCCTACGGATTACCTACGGAAGGGGCTGTCCGTCGCTATTCCGTCGGTAATTTCCTACGGATTACCTACGGATTTTTTTTATTTTCGACATTTCGAGCACCGGACGTTGTTTTTTTCGCTTCGTTTTTTTCACACCTCTATTATACATGATTATATATACTATCACCAAATTATACCTAATATATATGTGTGTATAACCACGTGCACCTTTAGATCCGTTACTCATTTCGCACAGTTACTCCTTTCACATACATTCACACATACACACATATGTACATATACATACATACACATACACAATTACACAAACATTCACATATAACCATAGACACATACATTCATAGAGGTTGGTCAATGTGTTTATTTATGAATATATGTGTATGTATGTATATGTGTGTATATGAATCTATGTGTATGTGTGAATGTGTGTCTAAGAATGTATGTGTGAATGTATGTTTCTATGGGTATATATGAATTTATGTTTCTATGGGCATATATGAATGGATATGTTAATGTGTATGTGTGTGTATGTATATGTACATATGTTAATGTGATTGTAATTTTAAAGTGTGAAATGTGTAACCGATCAAAATGAGTACGCCACTATAAACATCTAGGTATCAGGTATAAGTTGGGAAAACTATAGATAATCATTTATAATAGAGATGCGAAAAAAACGAAGCGAAAAAAAACGACGTCCGGTGCCCGAAATGTCGAAAATAAAAAAAATTCGTAGGTAATCCGTAGGACATAATAATAAAAATAACGGAAATAATAATAATAATAATAATAATAATAGTAATAAATAATAATAATAATAATAATAATAATAATAATAATAATAATAGTAAAAAATTAATAAATTACTATTTAGCGACGGATTTGTGACGGAAATTAAACAAATTAGTCTTTTTGTCAGTTCCGTAGCTATTCTGTCGGTATTTACCGACGGATTTCCGACGGATTTGTCTTTCGTCGGTATTCTGTAGGT